GATAGGGTAAAGAAGCACGAGCAAGCAAGGTCAGTTCCATTTCAATGATGTGACGGTGTTTCCTTTCAACAACACATTTCTACTGAGATGTGTGAGCACAAGTGATACGTTGTTGTATCCCAGCTCGAGTAAGAGCATCTGCCAGCAGCCGAAACTTACCCCCAATCGCTTTGAGCATCCAAGATAGTTGTACCAAATTGAGTCTTTATCATTTTTCGAAACAAATGGAAGATACCAATTGCTTCACTCTTATTCTTTAAGAGAAATAACCAAGTTTGCCTAAAGTAGACATCGACAAAAGACAAATAATACCAAAAACCATTAGAGGTTATGCTTGCAGGTCCCCAAAAATTAGTGAAAACCAATTAAAAGGGTTTAGTGCAAATAGTGGTCGAGAGTGAAAAAGGTAAAGCATGGCTTTTGCCCAGTTAACATGCAATAATTATATTCTTCAAACAAAGACTATTACAAGTAGTACTTAGTCTATGTAAAACATCATCAGATGCATGACCCAACCGATCATGCCAAACACCAAAATCAATAGCAGGAGTATTTGCTAAGAATGAAGAGCATCATCCTATTATTCTAATAAGCATAATTTTCTCCATTGAAATAAGGTAACTTGTTGATCAATTGAGAATCTTTACTGTAGTATGAGTCGGAGGTTAAAGTCATCTTTATCGGTTGGTTGAATAAGTTGATAGAGCTCTCATAGGACATTCTCAACTTTTTTAAACCATCGATAGAGACACGCTCTGATATCAATTGTTAGTTTTATCGATCAACCAAAAACCTCCAAGAGGGGATGAATTGGCCTTTGAATGATTTGTGGTGGAAGCAATTGAAATTAAAAACTTTGCACAACGATTTAGAGTGGTTCGACTTCTAAACCATGTCTACATCCACTACCTTAGCTATCCACACTAAGGATTTTTCAAATCCACTAGATTTGCTTACCTTTATGGACAATGTGTAACCTTACAAACAATTTAAGGTTTATGCCCCAAAATCTTGAATACATACTCTCCCAAAGAGTAATTACAAATTTGGTAATTAAAAATTTAGCAAACTAAAGAAAGACCTCACAAAGGCAAGTAAGTTTGCACAATTTAAGCACTCACTCAATGCACACTTGAGCAAAATTAATAATGTAACTCACAAGTGTGTAACAAAAGATTTGATATTTTTTTCTCTAAAACACTATTAATGTTGGATTCATCTTGCAATTGATTTTCTAATTATTCTCAATTTGAATCTTGGTCTCTTTTATGTCTTCTAACACCAATCTAGTCATTTTGAGCCATTGGGGATTTAATAGAGCCGTTGGATTCATTAATTTTGAGGATTTAATGCTCACCTGCACATTTGGTATCGATACCAACATGTTGGTCTCGAGATCGAGCCTTCCAACAATCAAATTTATAGCCGTTGAACCTTCAGTATCGATATTGTTTGAATCAGTAATCCCACCGGTCTGGAGACTAAGACCATGGTATCGATACCAAAATACATTCTGGAATTTTGGTATCGAGATTGAACATAGTCTCGAGGCTGGCAGTGGTTTTGACAAAAATTAAGTGTTTTGAGCTTTAAAAATAATGTTTATAAAATGTGGATTAACTCAAAAACACTTGGGATTATATTTTACACTTAAATATGATTTAAAATTATTTATGACATTATTTTCATGAAATGTAAATTTTAACAACTTAAAATATTAAAATAATCATGTTATATCAAAATCAAAATTTAGTTCAACATAAATGTATCAACAGTTTCTAAATTATTTTTAAAATTTATTTTCCATTTTGTATTCTTGTACAATTGAATTTTTATATAATTTTTATTTGAGAAATTTTAATCCATTATTTTTTTAACTTTTATTAAAATTATAATGATATAATCAACTTTTAGTGTTTGCACTAATGATCGCTTTATATTTTCCTTTTGAGAGTATTCAATCTCTTAATATTTCAATTTTTTTTATTAAAACATACTTGTTTGATGGAAAATGTTAATTGATTATAGGTCTACGCATATTACTGAACTTGACACATTTCACATCATAATTATTAGTGACGTGATACATATCATGTCATTATATCAATTTTAATGGCATAATATATGTCATGTCATCATTTTGGTGATATAACACGTCAAACAATCAATTTTAGTGACGTGACTCATATTATATCATTATTGTGGGTGACATGGCACATCAATTGAACACGTATAAAAATGTCATGTTAATAATGTTGGAACCGTCGGCGCACCCCATGACGCAGCGGAAACAAAACTCGACAATCTCACCAGTGATCCAAGTACGAAAAACTAAAATCGGGAGGAAGGGATGCGAATACTTACAGCGGGTTCCTTGAAAAACAACAAGGACAACAGTGAATACTGGTGGTGTAGATCGGTTCAAATCGTAAGCCTTCACGAAATCACGTCTCGACCTCTACTCAGTTCACCCAATTGAGAGCAATATTTTCTTCCCCAAAACAGTTTTGAGAGAAAAACGGCTGAAGGTTTTGTGTGTGTGTTCTAAAACGGCTACTAGACCTAACACGCCCTTTTATAGCCAAGTTACCCTAATCATATTAGGGTTTTATTATTTCAAAATAATTAATTCTATATTTAATTAATTGGAATTTAATAATCATTTTATATCTAAGTTACCCTGATCATATTAGGGATTTTATTATTTCAAATTAATTAAATCTATATTTAATTAATTGAAATTAAATATTCGAGATTATTAAAACATATATTTAATTAACTCTAGATATATATTTTAGTAACGTACAACAAATTGTACATCTTTGCTCGTTTCAATCCTAAGGTGTGACCTTGTAGGTTCTTGTAACGTTAGCAGTAATTATTAGAACAATTCTAATATTACATACAATGAGTGACATCTAGCAATATATCATTGTCACCTAAGTTACAAGAAAATATGATTCGACATATCATCTTGGTGATTAACTCTTTTATGTAATACATCCTTATGTCCTTTATATCTAGAATAGGCACAAGTCTAGGAATAGTCACACTTGTATAGCCTTTCTATTGTTTCTTGATATCTAGAGTAGACTTTAATTAACGCATAGTTTATGATATCTCATATCAACTTATTCGAGCATGGCCATGCGTTTCTAGTCTTACTCAATCAAGTGGCCTGTGATATATTTCCTATTATGTAGGAATGACAAATCATATCTTAATCATACACACCCACTACATATATTGAGATATATTCAATAACAGTCTTTATAGAGCAACCAGTTACGGAGCTTGTTTAGCTGCATCAAAACATACAACAATATATGTTAGGATAGTATTGATCTCAAGTCTGAGGATCATACATATAGTCATCACCATGAGCAATGTTATGATTATCACATAATAATTCAAGACATATGCTCATGGTCAGTCAATCCAATACATTGTTCTCTAACAATATAATCATGTATCAATTCTGACATCTCTATGTCAATGACAACGAGTTGTCATCAATCAATAACATGTTAGTCTTAAGCGTATTATTATTATTCATGCCCATAATAATACTTGAGTAGGGATCTTTTAATAATAACAATTATGTCATTATATGGACTTTATTATCTTCCAGTTTATGTTAAACACACATATATAAATGAAAATAATAGCGGCAATGCCTTTATTCAATAAAATTGGTAAATAAAAGTATTATTACAATCATCATATGATTGATCTTTGGGCATACTCTAACAAATAACATAGGTTGATCATTAGTTAACTAACGGTTTTCATCCATCATGGTCTATTTTAACCAAAATTAAAATGTTAGGAAGTAAAATACTCTAAAAAAGGGTAAAATGACCATTTGTACAAACGTTGGGAGGTATTTTTGTTATTACGCCTTTATTTAAGTCTAGGAGTGTTCACTTTTCGGTTTTAACCAAATTAACCGATCAAACCGAATTAGTTCAATTAATTTGATTGGGCACCGAATTAGTTCGGTCGGGAAATTGTTAATATTTTTTTGAATATTTTGTTAACAATTAATTCAATTCAAGATCTATTAATTAACCGAATTAACTAAAATTATTAAATATTATATATGTTAAATACTTACTTTAAGCTCAAACTCGTTAAGAATTAAGACTCAATTATTATTTAATCACACTATACTCATTAAATTATCAATACTAATTAAATTTTAAGCCAAATAAAAAATATATATCTATTATATTCAAATTAATCTAATTAAAATTTATTAAAAAGTTATGTTAATTCGATTAACCATAATTTTTCTCGGTTCGATTAATATTTTCAAAAAAAGTTTGGTTAATCCAATTCGGTCAGTGGTCAATTTAACCATTTGAACACCGCTATTCAAGTCTAGAATCTGTTAAGTGACCTCAGTGATAAAAGAGAATATTGTTATTTTAAAAATCCTTAATTTAAATAATTATATATATAAAACATGTGTACATTATTAATAACTAATAAATATTCTAAACAAATAATACTTTGTAATAATCTCATATTGTTAAAAGAATTATGAAAATTAAGAAGTAAACTTTAAAATAATACACCAACCTTTTAACATATTTAAACCTAAAATAAAAAGATTTTATGGTAGAAAAATGGCCGAAGGGTATTATTGTCAATGAAAAGGGTCTGTCATGTCGAAATCACATGCTCAAGAAACAAAATTATGTGATAGCCTTAAATTTAACCTATTGCAGAACCATTTTATTTATTTATTTATTTCACTATTTATTCTATTTCCAATTGTCCTAACCTATTAACTATTCCACCGAGAATTTGGCTTAATTTTAATTCTTATTATTAATTTTACAGTAAAATATAATTAGCGTAAGGAATAAAATTTTAAATATAATATTATTAAAAAATGATCACAAATAATAAACATATACAGTAAAACAGCTTAATTTATTAAAATATCAATCAATAATTACCAGGTCCTTCCTTTGTTCATTAGTTCCCCAGTTCTTATTTTTTCCCCCCTTCATCTTGCTTGTGTTGTTTTCGTATAAACAGTAGAAATCTGCCAAACAAAAAGTGGAGTTACCTGGTGGCTTATAGCCGAGTTTTCAGTTCCTTCACTTGTCTTGCAGCAAACAGTTTGATTTGCTGTCTTTCATGAGCTCTATAATAGGCTGTGTTCTGGCAAATGAGAAGCTCTTCTTATAATCAAAGCCCTAGTTCAAGATCCAAAGCAAAAGGAACATCCCCATTACTCTGTAACGACAAAGACCAACGAGATCTTCTTTCTTTCATGGATTCGATTCGAGTAATGGATCACACCGGCGGCGAAAACGGCGCCACCAACCTTGTAAACGTTAGCCATGACGGTGGCACTTCGTCTTCTTCTCCTCCTCCGACCTCGAGCCGCTACGAGAACCAAAAGCGCCGTGACTGGAACACTTTCGGGCAGTTTTTGAAGAATCATAGGCCGCCGCTTTGCTTGTCCAGGTGCAGTGGAGATCACGTACTCGAATTCCTTCGCTACCTTGACCAATTCGGCAAGACTAAAGTCCACACCCCAATCTGTCCTTTTTACGGCCACCCGAACCCACCAGCTCCTTGCCACTGCCCGCTTCGTCAAGCCTGGGGTAGCCTCGACGCTCTCATCGGCCGCCTCCGTGCCGCCTTCGAAGAAAACGGAGGAAACCCCGAAGCTAACCCGCTCGGGGCACGAGCCGTGAGGCTTTATCTTCGTGAAGTTCGTGATTTGCAGTCGAAAGCAAGAGGGATTAGCTACGAGAAGAAGAAGCGTAAACGACCACCACAACCTCAACAAATCCCATCTCTCCCACTCCCACCACCGCCACCAGGTGCAAGTTAAAAAAACGCCGCCAAAAACCCATCTCTCCTTGCTTGGTCCATGTGGGGTGGTTTTTTTATCTTTAATTTTGCCATATAAGTACATTTCTAGGGTAGTTTTTCCACTTTCCTGTGCTCCCAGTTTCCTATTCGCAGTGGTGAAAACTGGTAATATCACTAGCTTTTTTCTACAGATTTCAGGAGAAGACCTTTAAATCTACTTTTGATGCAAACACTGCTATTATTCCTCGGTTATGACTACTACTAGTACTTAAAAAAGTTATTCTTAGTATCAGTTTGTTACTGAAGTGGAACCTAATCTTCTCGATCATGGCTTTTTTCTCATGTACTTCGCCAAAAAAACCATATATATTTGCACTTCATCTCTTTGGAGATTATGCAAATACCTTCATTTGCCTGTTCAATTTGTCTACCACTATAAGTTGTTTAGTGTTTTTGTTGCAGATTGTAGTCAGTGTTTTTCACCTCTGACTTCTTTTTATTAATTTGTCTTGTCACTTTAATTTCACTGCTTTTACTGCCTGGAACTGATTAATAATATAAAACATCAAAACATTGAAAGATTGATCTTTAGCATTGTTTTGTTCACTGAAATGGTGGATTAGACGAGTGCAATACATATGGGTTGGATGATCCTTCAGGCTCTAGTCCTTGCTGCTGTCATTTCAATGTGGGAAGTTATGGCAGACAATGTTTATGATTTATATATAGATTAATATTATTAAGTTAAATTATCACTAAACTTTTAGCATATTTATATTTTGATGATAGAAATCGAAACATTTTTTTATTAAAACAATGAATTTAGGGTATGTTTGTGTTTTGATCATTGTCGTTTTCTTCACTAGGATCTCATGTTCAAAACACATTTCTTTATAGGGTCTCCGGTTGTTATATAATTGAAAAGAATAATATTTAGATTGAATCATGATTTCAATTTATATGATTAATTAATTATTTTATTAATCAATAAAAATTGATATAAACATTTGGATGTTTGAATCTAATCTAATGGTTGTTGAGATTAATTATATTTATGTTAATACAATTATTCTAATGATCATTGGACTTTTAGATTGCTTACACTTTAGTCACTGTCCTCATAACTTGTCCCTTTTGATATAATGGAATGGAATTTTCTTAACTGAAGTGGCCGACAGAAAATATATGATTGCCAAAGGGGTTGGGTCATCTCTTTTGGATTTTGTGATTAGCATTTGTCTTTAAACAATAACTGAGACATCCCCTCTTAATGTTTTAAGTATGCAATGGGAGTGTTTTATAAAAAGAAAAAAGGTATAAATAAACCGACACTAGTGTGGTAGATGGATGAGAACCTTCCTTTCCCTTTAAGGGGAGAGTCGAGTCCATAGATGCTACTAATTGTGGTTTAGGTTAACTATATTATGAATTTGGTACCATTATGTTTTAAATTATACAATCAGGGATCCCTTTCGTGTGTGAGAAAAAAAGGGTTATACACAAAGCATGAACCTTTTTGATGTCACCACATATGCATATCTAAGATTGTGTTGGAAAGATTAGTTATTTAATGATGAAAGTTTGATCATACAATACATAAATGCATACATCTTCGTGATGTTGGAACTACTTTCATGCATGCATACATACGTCTTCGTGATGTTGGAATTTGAAAGGCCAAAGTATCATATAATATTTTAACATTTATTTTATACAAGATAAAAGGAAAAAGAAACCTAAACCAGCAGCAGCAGTAAAGGAGAGCTTTTATTGCATAATCAAAGTCAAATTCAGCTGCTGCGTACGGTACAATAGACAGGAACTTTTCGAAAGAAATAAAGAAAGGGAAGTTTGATTTATGCTTGTGTTCCTTGATCAGAATGAGACGACAGAATTTGACCAAACACACATAAATAATTAGCTTCATATACATAAAATATACTTCAACTCCTCGTTTCTGCAAAACTTGGATGCCATTACCTGCATTTCTTATGGACTACATGTCTGGTGAAATGCGTACTACGTCCTCATTCCCACCAAGTTATGGGATTTTGGGGTTTTTTTAAATTTAATACTTTTCACTTGTTTCTACATTGAAACAGTACAAGAATGGAGGCAATAGAAGGCAAAGGTTGATGATAGTAAGCCCAAAATTTACCTTCTCCATAACCCTATGTGTGAGTTATACTTGTGCATGCTATTTCTCTGCAATCCGCTCCTCCGTTGCCATTTATCAGATCCCTTCACGTTCCTTCTGTTCCAAATTCTTCCCAACACCATTGACTCATCCCCGACTAGCTATTTCGAGATAATTAGGAAAAGGTTATAAAATTACTCCGACTATAGGTTATAATGTTTTTATTAACTACTTGACTATTAAAAGTTACAAAATAATCCTCTAACTATAGAGTGTTACTTTGTTGAGTCCATCGACTATTAAAAGTTACAAGATAGTCACCTAACTATTCATTATGTTCTAAACTCATCATTTTCCATTAAAAAATTAATGTTATTTTAAGTTAAACGTTAACTTACTAACTATGATATATGATACTCAAACGACTATCATATCACAACCATCATGTTAACGCCCATCTTAGACAATTGGTAATTTTTTAACGGAAAACGACGAGTTTGAAATATAATGAAGAGTCAGGTGATTATTTTGTAACTTTTAGCAGTTGAGGGATAACACAATGCGACACTCTTTAGTTGATGAACCATTTTATAACTATCAATAGTTAAAGAACTTGATAAGACAGTAATATATAGTCAGGGGATTATTTGTATGCTTTACCCTAAATTTTATTATAAGTTTTTCAATAATAATAAAAAATATCGGAATGGATAAGTGTTTATTTTTAAATATTTAAAATTTCTTTGAGTAAATATCCTATTTTTAGTGTTCTCATTGATTTTATATATTTTTCTTTATCCACTAATGCATAAATGGGATGGACGATCTAAAAGAAATGGAATATATAACAAACATGAATAAAAGTTTCATATACCATATAAAAACAAATAACATTAATAATTTATTTTGTTACAATTTGAATACGACACACTTAACGTGACACATACAATTTATATATTAAAATTATTTATTAAGTATATTATAATTATATATTTACATTAATATAATTATACAATGAATTTCCAAGCATACTCTTAATAATACATAGACGGGGAAGTACCAGAATCCCGCATCAAACGGTCAATGAGGTGGGCCATCCGGATTTGACGAATAATAACAAAACGCGAGATTGGACCCACCATCCACGTGCGCACCAGTCACCCATGTCCGCTTCCCTATAGTCAGGCATTTTTATTTTATTTACGGGTAAACTGTTGTTATCAATCTTTTGATATTTAAATTTTTATTTTTTTTAAATTAATATTTAACATATAATTTTTGTTTTATTTTAGTATTTTATCGTTAAAAATTGAACGGACGGGCTTGTTAGTCATTGCATTCATCGATCAACTAAATCCAAAATTTTCAACTCGCACTTTTTCGACCCCATAAACATAATTCCGACTTCCGTTTCATCGCTCAATCTCCCCAAATTGACGATAGATTTTTCGATATTTTTATCCTTTGGTATCCATCATCAACCATCTTAAGGGCCTGAAACTAGACTATATTGGTCGACTAATCATTCTCTAATGTCCACCGTTTGGATTGGTCTTCTGTCTGTCGGATCTATGCCCCGTCAACTTTTCCGTTAAGTTTTAAATGGTGTGTACTAAAATCAAATAAAAACTAAACATTAAGTATAGTTTTGAAAAAAATTAAAAGTTAAAATATTAAAACAAACCAAAATTTATAGTTTATGCACTAAATGCGTAGTTTATCTTTTGTTTATTTAAATATACAAGCTTTTTGGATTTATATATATATATATATATATATATATATAAACTTTTTAGTATTTTGTTTTGTTTGCTCAATATTTTCTAAACTACATTAGTGGTTACTAAATTTTATAAGGTGCTTTTGTTATAAAAATTATATCACGTATTATTTTTCTTAATAAAATAATAGTTTTAATAAAATTGTGTGTTACTATATATTATTATTAGTGGTGTGAAAAATAAAGGGAAAATGTAGGTAAAAGATTATGGTAAAACGAAGTTGAATCTTAGAATAACATGTACAACACCTAATTATTAAATTAAATAAACAATAATTATGTTGTGAGAAAAAAATATTAGAGTTATGTTAAATTTCAAAAAGAAAGTGTCACTTCATTGTAAATCAAACTTAGATATTAAGGAGTTAGCTACTACATATCTTCCCCAAAGGTTTGGATTTGATCTGTCGTAACCGGTTTTCGTCCGGGCACGAAATATTAATTTTGGCGGGGAAATTGACGTGAATAAATAATTTTGAAAATAATTTAGGAGTCGCCATCGGCCTTTTGGGTCAGGTAGGTCGAATACCTAAAAATTATTTTTTTTAAAAGAGTTTTAATAAAACACCAATTAAAAAATAAACTGATCTGCATTTATAACCAAAAATTCATTTTTTTTAATAATAAAAAGGGATTCGTGGTCTGTTACGTTTAGGGAAGGATTAGCACCCCTACAACGCCCAAAATTGGTACTTTTTAATTATAAATTGTCTCTATTATTAAAATTTTTAAAATTCAAAAATATATTTAATTTATAATTCTATTATTTCAAAATTATATAAAAAAATTTATTTATTTAAAAATATCCGAAAAAAACTTATAGGTGCCTTAAGACAGCTCTTTTCTTTGATATTGATAAATATTAATTTAAATAATATTGTTTACTTTTTAATTTTAAAATATCAGAATAGGACATCCAGTTGTATTAAGACTGTCATTTTCTTCGATATTAAAAATAAATATTTAAAAAAATTACTATTTAATATATGTATATTTATGAATATATAAAAATATTGAACAATATAATAAAATAAAAATATCACTAAAACAATATATTTTAAGCAGTAAAATGAAAACATATAAAATAAATAACTAAATTATAATAAAAATAAAACTAAATCTAATTTCTAATTAATTGAAATTATAGGGATTAAATATTTTATTTTCTAATTTAATAATTTAGTGACCAAAATAAAATTATCTAAAATTCGAATTTTATAATAAAATAAATTAAAAATATGAACTAGGGATTAAAAAATTATTTATTAAAATTAAGGGATTAAATCTGTCATTTATCCTAAATATATTATTTTAATAAAAAGGACTAAAATGAATAAAATTAAAATTCAAA